TAGATATATGATAATTTTTTATTTACATTGCGTAATCTAATATAGTGTTCTCCAAGAAATATTGCGAAAGCCTTCTATATCGATCTTCTTTCCTGGTTTTTTGTACAAGCGGAATATTTTTGGTTTTCAACATCGATTTAACATATAATTCACACACATAGTTTGGTTAATATATTTAAAAATTCTATGAAATTGGTGTCACACATGATTTATCGAGACTCGACTATATAATAATTGTATTTTATTCATAAGTATAAGAAACAAATTATATTAACCATTTCGACTACTTAGGCATATGACCCCATAACCTTTAAAATAATAAATTAATAAATCATTTAATGTATACAGATGTTTTATATAAACGGTAAGGCCTACGGCTTTATAAGTACATATAATTTGTTACATATTTTCACTTACAAATGTAATGAACATTATTTACAATCCAATAAAAGCTTAAAAGTCATCAGTTTCAGTTAAGCATGATGAGCAGTAATGCAGGACATTAACAAGCACATTAAAAAGTAAGTCCTACATTCTTTGCTAAGCTATATCTTGTTTTACACATTCCACCCATAATTTTGTAAGTAGTCACATTGCAAGTGTTTCTTTAATTATCTTTTTCACTGCATTTCCCATTGAAGGTGCTGTCGACCCAGAGGTCGAATAATCAAATTTAAACAAATATGGCTGTATATCTGGAAACGAGGTATCAAAAATTAGATCTAGCTCGCTTTGACTGGGAGTCTTCGGTACATAATCGTGACGGTTCATTAATTCTGTAATGTATATAACTTTCTCAGTAAGTAGATCAGATATATTTTCGCGGGAAAGCTGCCGATCATCTTCGTTCTCGTGTTTAATTAAATCCAAATGAACTGTCCACACTTCCCAGGGAATAGACTCCTGTGTGAAAAGCCAGCGATTTTTCTTTTTCTGAAAAAATTCTAAACTTATCTGACCGGAGCCACAGCTATCATTCGAGCGCAATTTTTCGCTAAAAACATTGATGGCACGCTTCACTTTGCGTGTAAGGCTTTCCGAAGTACAACAAACATAGGTAAAGTCAATAAAGTCACAATCAACATCGGAATAACCCACGGTACCTATAGAATACTGTGCATCTCCAGTATACATATATTTACCAGAACAGCGATGAAATAATACTGTATGAAAGATGCTAGCCACCGCTTCATCCACCTGCCGACCTTCCATGGTAAAATCAAAAATCTGTGAACGTGCATTCATGTTACAATTAATTCTTATATTTAAGGGGTTTTACTGAGCAGATCTTTTCGGGAGCACTCCCTGGAAATACTTCTTGATCTATACACCGTATTATATATATTATATATTATTTTTCCTAAGATAACATTATTTCTACTCTTAACTCGATTGTTATATTTTGTTTTCCTTTTAAAGATCTAAAATATTTCAATAACAAATGTTGTGGTTACCACTTACTTTATAACACTTTTGAAAATGTCACTACCTGTTTAAATCATAATTGATTGACTTAATGTAAAATTATTGCGTTCCTCAGCTTGAAATCATAATTCATTGCAACAGTCTTGAAGAGAAAATCTGGACAGGAAAAAATA